AAAAAAACTAGATAATTACAATCAAGCAGAAGGAAAAATCTCATTAGCATAAGTCTGATTAAGAAAAAGGAAGAAGTCTGAGAAATCACAAATAGGAAGGAAAATATAAGAAAAAATGATCAAAGTAAAATGACTAAAAGAATATGTTAGAACGATAATAAAAGGGAATAAGATAGATAATAATAAGGCAATAATGTCAGACAATCACCAAGAAAAAAAACCTGCAGGAAATAAATTCAATCTCCTGCTTAAGTTGATCGCTATAAAGAACAGCTCACAGAGCAACTAACTATTGAGGGATGTATGGTTATCACACCCTCCTACTTGTGATGCCAAATATGACTGCTGACTTGGGGTGCTCCTGAGTCAACTTGAAAGGACCACCATTATTACCATTCCCCACCAAGAGACCCATCAGTGACTGGGGGTAGAGAGAGAGCCACTGGCAGAGATATCACCAGAGCGAAGATATCACCAAAGGCTGCGTAAAACAAGTCTATAGTATTAAGGTTAAAATTAAATGAAATGAAAGAGAAATCAAGACAAGGGGATGAGAAGAACAAACACAGCATCAGAGTGGGTAGGTCCTTTCTATCTTCAGGGCAAAGCAAACATCTGGAATTATTTGGTACTGAATGCCAAATTTAAGACTTTGTTCCTCTCTTCAATTATTTGTTAGTAACACCACAAAAAGAAAAAAATAGACCTATAGGCTAAAATGAAGAAGACTGGTTAAAGTGTGTGTAACAATAACTGTCTTAAAAAAAACATACTTTTTAAATTAACAGAGCAGTTGACTGCACAAAGAAATTCCTGACTGACTTGGAGAGCTGTTCATCCTAAATTCTTAAATCAAATTAGGAAGCTGCAGACAAACATATATAATAGCATGATAACATTTTTTGTTAAAATATGCCTGCATAAGCACAGGAAAGTTTTTAAATTACTTCCAAAATAAATGCTGGAATTGTTAATGATTTTTCCTTTAAAAAATTTTTTGTTTTCAATATAATTAAAATAACAATTATTTAAAACAAAATAAAAAATGTGCCCTTCCACGTCATTCAATCTTTACCTGAATTAAATGTGTATGAAACTTACAAAGAACCCCTTTCACATAGAACATAGCTTTGGCAGAGCTGTTCTCACCCAGTGGGATGAAGGGGCCAAGCCCAGCTGTATTAGGGTGGAAAAAAACACCAGCTGTGAAGACCAATGGAAAGGTATGAATCCAGCATCTCTATTCAGTAATTCAGTGACCCTGAGCAAATTAGATGAGATTTCTGAGTGCGGCCTTCACTTGGCTTCGCGAGTGGAATACCTCACAGGGTTGTTTTGAAAACAGTACCCATATACGATGACACAGATTGGTGAGTGCGTTACCAATGACCTTTCTGACCAATATTATACTTTTTATTACCTCAGGAAACAATCTTTTCCATATAATGCCAGATTGCTTGCCACTTACTCTGACCTCCCCTTGGCCTGTGACTCCTTGGACCCCTCAGTGCTCAGCAGAGCAGTCCGGTTACTGATACTTCCTTCTAAAGTGTCTGTATTTACCACCTCCAGGAAACAGCAGAAAAAAACATCCAGCAGGTGCGAAGCAGGTGTCAGAGAGTAAACCTGTGGTATCCAAGTTCTCTGTCCTATGAATATATAAGCAAGCCCAGTAGGGGTAGAAAACATCTTTTCCAAAGGCACATATTGTAGAAGCATGATATTGTTACAGACTCAGCTTGACATATTACACTTCAGAGTTTCAACTGTAATCATTATTCATTTTTTTAGTGTTATTGTTTTAAAAACTTTAAGGATATCAATCAAAAATGTTAATATTCATGCCTTAGACCTGGAAAAGTTCAGAACCACTGAAACAGAAAATAAATAGCAAGAGATGTGAGTCAACTATTTAGAAAGTGTAAGTTTCTGCAATGATGTCAATGTTATATATATATATGTATATCACATATATACTGTCCAACACCATAGCCACTAGCCACATGTGACTACTGAACACATGAAATGTGGCTAGTGCAACTGAGGAACTGAATTTTTTATTTTTTTTATTTAATTAATTTAAATTTACATCATCAAATATGGTATTGAATGGCACAGATCTAGAACCTTGGGTTTATGACTGATGCTAAATGAAAAAGGGTGGTATGTGGGTGAGTTAGCTAAGTTAAAAAGCAAACTGACAAAAAGACAAGCAGAAAAAAACAACAACAAAACAAACAAAAAACCAGCACCGTATTAATATTCTCTCATTCCATATAGCATTCATCTTGATAAAGCTAAAGTCCTAGTCTGGTCTACTCAGGCTGCTATAACAAAAAAAAAACATACACTAGGTGGCTTATACAGCACACATTTATTTTCTTAGTTTTAGGAGCTGGAAAGCCCAAGAACAAGATTCTGGACTCTGGTTCTGGTGAGGATCCTCTCTCTGCCTGGCTTGTAGATGGCCGCTATCTCTCTGTGTGCTCACATGGCCTCTTCTTTGTACATATGCACAGAGAAAAAGATCTCTCTTCCCCTTCTTATAAGGCCACCAGCCCTATCCGATTAGGACTCCCACCCTTACGACCTCATTTAAACCTAATTACCTCTCTAAAGGCTCTAGCTCCATATGAATTTATGGGAGGGGGAGGGGGACACAAAATTCAGTCCATAGCACAACTCTCCACTCTCCCTCCCATATCTAGATTTCTTATGAGTTCCAATATTGCATGGACTATGCTTCTCATCCTTAATTTATAATCTTCTACAAGCTAAGTTTTCTGCCTATTTTTAATACACCATCAGTTTACACCTGAGAGAGACTTTAACCCTGCCTTCGGACGACTGTGAAATGTATCAAGGTTAAACAGCTTTGGCCCTCAAAATGACTTCTCACCTTCTAAAATGATTGTGCAGAAAAGAGTTAACGTAGCAAGCCTGACACTGCTCCCTTAGGAAGGACAGCTTGAAGGCTGGCCCCGGACTAGAATCTGGGAACTTGAATACTGGGAGAGTTCCTCCTCCCTAACTGCTAAGAGGGACTTACTGTGCCTAAACTGTTTGTACAAACAATGTGATTTATGCTGGACATCTGCTTTCCTTCTGAGGATCTGAAATTTTGGTACCTTCTAAGCAGAGGATGACTACATGATCAGCCCCCAATAAAAGCTTTGGGCACTGAATCTCTAATAAGCTTCCCTGATGGATGACATTTCACACATGTTGTCACGATTTTGCTGGAGGAACTGAGTGTGTCCTGTGTAACTCCACAGGGAAAGAACACTTAGAAGCTTGTGCCTGGTTTCCGCCAGACTTCATCCCATGAACCTTTTCCCTTTGCTGATTTTGCTTAGTAGCTTTTCTCTGTAATAAGTCATAATCATGAGGACTTATGCTGAGTGTGCTGAATTCTGTGAGTCTATCTAGTGAATCATCAAACCCAGGGGTGGTCTTGAGGGCCCCCAACACATCAAACAATCCACTGTTTTAATTCACATCATCAAACATCTATCCCTAGTGAAAGAACCCTGTATTCCTAAATTTGAATCTTCCCAGATTCCATTCCAACCCATAATTCTCCCAGCCCTGGCCTTATCCAGTCTACAATCAACATTATCACATCACTTAGGATAAGATAATCATCAAATCTCTCTCTATATGTCAATGCTTCTATAACTGGGGTGAATATAATCCAAGAGATAGGGAACATTTTTTTTCTTCAATATAAAACTGTTTGTTTCCTACATCTTTCAGTAAAAATAATGTTCCCAGGAGCTTCTCCATGCTTAGCCTTATTTTACTTGACCTTTCTGCAAGGGTAGAAGGTACAGAGCATTCCAATCCACGCAGAAGTTTCTCCAAACACTCTTTAATGCCCCCTATTATCTCACTGCCCATGGACCATTACACTCACTTCCATAACTTTACCTTCTACCTGTAACTTCTAAATCCTTAACTTAGCCCAGTCACCTGTCCTAGAATCTTACCCCAAACACCTAGAGGGCAAGTACATGTATGGACCTTACCAAACAATACTTAGACTGATGTTCTCTCTTTTTTCTTTTAAGAGACAGAGAGAAAGGGAGAGAGAGAGAGGGGGAGAGGGAGAGGGAGAGAGAGAGAGAGAGAGAGAGAGAGAGAGAGAGAGAGAGAGAGAACACGATGTGGGAGAAACATAGATCAGTTGCAATCTGAGTATGGCCCTTACCGGAAATGGAACCTATGACCCTTCAGTGCATAGGACAATGCTCTAACCAACTAAGCCACACAATATTAAAAAAAAATCATCTAGACATGTTTGCTTTATAATTGAACTGACTCTAGTTACTAAATCATAGCAATCCAAAGTTATAGAAGACTATTTGAATCCTTTCCCTAACATGTCTTTTTGGTATTCCAGCGAAACTGTTCCTAATTGGTAGTTCACTACTATAGTAGAGCTTGGTGAAATGCTATGCACTGAGCAGCCATCTAATAAATATTTATTCAATAAATTAATAACAATAGCCATCTATCAGACCTGCAGAAAACAGAATGGAACACCACGCTGGTTGACATGGCTTCATTTAGAAATGACACTATTGGTAATCTCACTTTATTAGTTATATGAATGAGAATTTTCAAAAAAATGGTTTGGAATAGCCAGCTACCCATTTTAAGGAGAAAACATAGAGGGATGAAAACTTTAGACTTGTAAAAGTTTAATCATTAAAAGAAAAAAAGGGGGGGGCGTGTTTCAGAAATCCAAATAAAGATGGCAGACTGAACACATGCATTCATTCTTTCTTAAAACATCACTAAAATGACAATAAAACAAATTTAATTTTCATTTTTAAGGTGTAAACTTAAAAGGATGACAATAGGAGAAGTTAGCAATAGAATTTCACAAGCTAGAAAGCAGATAGACAAATGGTACTGAATACATAGATCGGAGAAAATTGAATCTGAGAGGAACAATGGGAAAGTTAAAACCAGCCCTTTTTACATCCCATTTTATTTCACTCGACCCCTAACCTAACAAGATCAGGAAATTAGGACATCTGAGACATCTGGAAATAGGATGAAGGAGGACCTAAAATTAGGTCAACTGGTTTAAAGTCTATCTAAGAGGCAGTTAGACCCCAGATCTCCATTTCAAATTCTTGCAGCCTAGCCCCCAACCTGACCAAAAAGAGGTGGTTTATTCTCTGGGTAAGTTCCACAAATTAGGGAGTTGGGGGAGTGTTCACGGGTTAAATAAAAATGTGTAAACTGGAATACTGAAGGCTAAAACCCCCCTATCCCCAGAGTTTTCTAACCTACTCAGGCCCTAGAACAATGACAGTCTGATTTATAGATGACAAGCAACTCTGATAAGCCAAAGAGTAAAAATCTAAAGGTATTACGGGCAATAGGGTCGTGAAGACCTGAGGGGTGGGTAGGGGCTGGGAGAAGGAGGGAAAGCAGGAGAAAACGGCAGATATCTGTAATACAGATACATTTTTTATCAACAAGAAAAATATATTAAGTAATAATAAATAAATAAATAAGATCTGAAGGTACTGACATGAGAGGGTTCCCAAACACTCAGCCCAAACAGATCTTTTTAATAGGAACCTAAGTCAGTTAAGTGCCTTCCATGTATGCGGAGTTTGGTATAACTTTTTAGTTCTTCGTTGTAAATATAAGCAGACAACCAAGGACTGGTTACCAGACACTGAGAAAACCTCTAATATACACAAAATATACAGATAAAAGCAACACAGAAGTCATGTGACTTTTTTAAAAGTTATAACATTAATATCTTTACAGCAGAGGAAATAATACTATATCCATGAAAGAAAGAGAATATTAACAAAAAGGACATTCAGAGAATAGTCTTGGAAATTAAAAATATAATAGCAAAAATGAAAAACTCAATAGAAAAGAAAGTATTTAAAGCTGAAAATCTCGAATGTGCCCTGGCCAGTGTTGCTCAGTGGCTGGAGTGTCAGTCTGCGCAACCAAAGGTCTCAGGTTCAATTCCTGGTCAAGGGAGCAAACCTAGGTTGCAGGTTCCATCTCCACTAGGTCAGGGCACATGCAGGAGGCAACCAATCTGTATGTTTCTGCATTGATGTTTCTCTCTCCCTCTCGGTACATG